GAGAAGAAGGCCAATCTGAGCTACAAAGTAAACCCCCCTGCTTTTTTTAAGACAGTGTTTCCCTGTATAACAGCCCTGTCTGTCCTGGAACTCACTGTGTAGACCAGGCTGGCCTCAGACTCACAGAGATCCTCCTGCCAACATTCCCTGTAAAATCTTGTCTTAAGAAAATTAAAAAGAAAGAAGAAAAATATACCAGCTCATAAAGAGAAGACCCCAGGCACGGGTTGGCAGGGAAGGGCATGGTGAGCAGGTTAGAGCATTTACCTTGAGGAGGGAGTTGCTGTGGCCTTGGCCTGCTGCCAACAGGACCAGAAAGTAGGAGAGGTGGACAGTCAGTGTCATGGTGCAGCCGAGAGTGCTGGGGGGCAGGAAGCTATGCAGACCAAATTGGAAAGGGCAGGGCTAGAGAAACCACGAGGGGAAACCAGGTTGGGGTGGAGGGTAGACCCTCCTCCACCCGCCTGGCTGACTAACTGTACCCCAACAACTTCTTTTCAATAGCAGCTCCTGACTACCCTGTTCCAGACAGTTCTAGGGATGTAAAGACAAATCTTTCTTTAAGGAGACAGGGAGGCAGATCTAAGTGGACAGTGATGATGCCCACATGATGGGAAACTTAGACAGCAGCCACAGTGCCCGGTGTTTGGACAGGAATGAGTGGTGATGGGCAGCCTTTAGGGACTCACTCTTGCTTTCCCTGTGAAACTCAGTCAGTGTAAGGGCCACCTTCTTAAAGAAACCTCCTCTGCTTGAGACCCCAGCCTCAGGTTAACAGATTATAGGCCCCCTGAGCCATTTCAAACTTCTGCCCACTCATCTCCTAACCACACAGAAGTATCCAATCTGTCTGCATCTAGATCACCCGGAAATGTGGGGCAGGCTCAATGAGTATTCAGTTTGTTTGGGTTATTTTGTTTATTTGATGTTGTTGAGACAAGGTCTCACTATGGAACCCTGGCTGACCTGAAACTCGCCAGCTGTGTAGATCAGGCTAACTTTGAATTCACAAATACTTGCCTGTCTCTGCCTGAGTCCTGGGATTAAAGGCGAGTGCTACCATGCCAGGAAGTTTGGGGGTTCTTTTGTGAGGGAAGGAACAGAATCTCATGTAGCCCAGCCTGACCTTAAACTCCTTAGGTAAATAGGGAAGACCTTCAATTCCAGGCCTTCCTCCTTAGACTGAGCACTTTGGTTACAGACATCAGTGCATATTAACTGACTGAAAACTTGTAGTTAGCTTCTGTCTCATTTTTCTTCCTTCATATGGTCTACGAATGAGGAGAAAGAAAGACGACAGAAAGTACCACAGAAAAAACAAACCCAAAACTTGTGTGGCTGGGAGCTGGGCAGCGCCTTCAGACCTGTTAGCTGCCACCCCCATATTGAGTGTGTCCTTGGGCTAAAGAAGCCCCCCAACCGATCTCCAGACTGGGAAGCAACAGCCAAGACCAGAGACAGGTGCAAAGAGCTGGCTTTCCAGGGCCCATGGTTGGGGTGAAAGGGGAGGGGTCTGGCCCTGGGACTCACCCATTTTCATGCTTCCCACCTTCTCTCTTCTTTAGGAATTGCCTTAGAATTGTTATGTTCCATTAAACTCCATATTTCTCCTGGGGACAGGAAACTGAGGGACTATTTAAAAAATAATGCTGACAAGAAAGGAAAATAAATACGTAAAAAAATAATGCTGTGTCCACGGATGGTTAACCCAGTGACCCTGGAGCCCAGTTATATGCCCCCAAGTGGGTCTTGTGCTGTGTGGTCCCCATAGGTGCCCTGTGTTGTGGAAGGCTAACAGGAAGTGGCTGGGGGCTTTTTTGCTTGTCCCCTCCATCTCTCAGACATGAGCTCTGCAAAGGACAGGTTTTGATGTGTTTTGGTCAGTGCTGTATCCTTGGTGCCTGGGACCTCTGATCGTCAGTGGCCACTCAACAAGCCCTTGCATGGGTGAATGGCTCTCTCCCTTCTGACCACTTGTTCATATGTATCCTCTTGCTCCTGCCCAGCAACCAGCTGTGGCTGGGCTGGGAGCCCAGAAACCTCACTACTCATTCTTGTTTTTTTTTTTTTAATGTTCATTGGTGTTTGACCTGCATGTATGTCTGTGTGAGGGTGTCAGAAGCCCTGGAACTGGAGCTACAGACAGGTGTGAGCTGCCATGTGGGTGCTGGGATTTGAACCCAGGTAGGTCCCCTGGAGGAGAAGCCAGCGCTCTTATCCGCTGAGCCATCTCCCCAGCCTGTTCCTTCTCATTCTAACATGGGACAAGGTTCAGTCTTAGAGTCAGGGGGACTTGATTCTAACATTGTTCTTGTTACTTTGGTGGCACTGAGGACAAATCTGCCAGCCCCTGTCATCTGTGGAGTAGAGTAACAATGGTGTCCCAGCTCTGGCTTGACAAGAGGATCACAGAGTGTCCTTGCCAGTGCCTGCCTGGGATGGTTAAGTCTTGATAATCAGGAGTTTTTATTTGAATTAATAACAGCTTTAGTGTGTGGTTATGGTGGCTCATGCCTGTAATTCCAGCACATGGGAGGCTGAGACAAGAGGCTTGCCATGAGTTCAAGGCTAGCCTGGTTACATAGTAAGTTCCAGACCAGTGTGGGGAATGTGAGACTGTTTCAAACAGCACTAACAAACATATTAAATGAGATATAAATCACTTATTATGCAATTTATCTGTTTGGTTTTGGTTTTGTTGGTTTTTTTTGTTTTTTGTTTTTGTTGTTGTTTTCAACAGGGTCTCACTGTGTAGCTCTAGTTGTCCTGGAACACACTACGTAGACCAGGCTAACCTTGAACTCAGAGATCTGCCTGCCTCTGCCTCCTGAGTGCTAGGATTAAGTCATGCACCATCACTGTCCAACTGCGATTTATCTTTAATATTAAATATTAAATTTAATATTAAAATATTTAAAAGGTTTATATATTATATATGTGTATGTATTTATATATTTGAGACAGGATTTCTCTTTGGAGACCAGGCTGGTCTCAAATTCACAGAGATCTGCTTGCCTCCACTTCCCAAGTACTAGGATTAAAGGCGTGTGGCCAGGCCTTTTTTCTTTTATTTATTTTTCTTTCTCCTTCTGTGTCTCCACCAGCAGGGCTTTGAGACTGGCCTGATTGGGCAATGGGAAATGAAGAAATAGCAGACATGCACAGTGAAACCCTAGGGATCTGGTGGGCCATGTGTTCTGAGGGGACACACCAACAGCCTTGGAAACTCAGGACAGTTTATCTCTTGAGCTGGAGGAGGAAAGTTAGCTAATCTCCTCAGGGGTCTCTGCAGGGGAGTAGTCTCAGGACGCAGTCATCTGGGCTTGCAAAATGCACACAAGGTCAGCATCTGCACTCGCTCACAGAAGGCCTCTGTCATTCCTCTGAGCCTGACCTGGAGAACGCCCTGCCATCTCCACGGTTCTGACATGGCTGGGGTAATATCAATAACACGTGTTCACTGGGGACTTCATCCGTTCCCCACACTTTTTCCTTTCCCTTTCCTTTTCTTTTCTGTGCTTTGTTCTACTTCAGTGTGCGTGTGTGTGTGTGTGTGTGTGTGTGTGTGCGTGTGTGTGTTACTGGATTTGAACCTTGCGTCCTGGTCATGCTAAACAAGCAGGTGCTACTGAGTTACTCTAGCCCTCTACTGCGTAAAAGACAAACTACGACAGGACTGAAGAAATGACTCCAGTCTTCCTCTCGAGGACCTGAGTCTGGTTCTCAGCACCCACATCAAGCAGCTCACAACTGCCTTCAACGCCAGATCCAGGGGACACCTCTGTCCTCTGTGGACACCTGCACTCGGGGGTACACACCTGTACATAGACGCACACATATACACATCATTAAAAATTTATTCATTTATTTTGTTTTTTCAAGAAAGGGTTTCTCAGGCCGGGCGGTGGTGGCGCACGCCTTTAATCCCAGCACTCGGGAGGCAGAGGCAGGCGGATCTCTGTGAGTTCGAGACCAGCCTGGTCTACAAGAGCTAGTTCCAGGACAGGCTCCAAAACCACAGAGAAACCCTGTCTCGAAAAACCAAAAAAAAAAAAAAAAAAAAAAAAAAAACAAAAAAAAAAAAGAAAGGGTTTCTCTGTAGCTTTGGAGCCTGTCCTGGAACTAGCTCTTGTAGACCAGGCTGGTCTCGAACTCACAGAGATCACCTGCCTCTGCCTCCCGAGTGCTGGGATTAAAGGCGTGTGCCACCACCGCCCGGCTTTTTTTTTTTTTTCTTTTTTCCTAAAAAAAAGGCAGTGGAAGCTGGGGAGATGGCTCAGTGGGTAAAGTGCTTGCCACGAACACGAGGGAGGGCCTGAGTTTAGATCCCCAGCACTAGCATAATAGCCGACTGTGATGATGCCTGTCTGTAACTCCAGTGCTGGAGGGCCTGGGAGCGGGAGACTGGCAGGTCCTGAGAGCACATTGGCCAACCAGTCTCCTAGCTGACATAGTGAACTCCAGATCCAGGGTCAAACCCTCCACAGAAGGTGGAGAGCAATAGCCTCCACTTGTACATAGGCACAAGAATATATTACACAGCCGGGCAGTGGTGGCTCACACTTTTAATCCCAGCACTCGGGAGGCAGAGGCAGGCGATATCTGTGAGTTCGAGGCCAGTCTGGTCTACAAGAGCTAGTGCCAGGACAGGAGCCAAAGTTATAGAGAAACCCTGTCACACAGACAATTTAATGAAATGAAGCAGATTTTTTTAAATTATTAATCATAGCAGAGTCGAGCATGGTAGCGCACACGCCTTTCATTCCGCAAAGGACTCTCCTCCAAAATAAAATTGGGAAGAGGTTAGGTAAGGGAAAGGAAGGTAGGGCTATTGCCTCAAGCAGTCCTGGCCAGGCACAGGAACCCTGGACACGCTGTCCTTTCCCGTCTAGTCCCGCCCTGAGACGTGGGCAACGCGAAGTCCCTCCCATTCGCCCCTTCCTGGGAGCTAAGGCACCCAGACTCCGCCTTCAAGGCATGATCTCTGCTGGGGACGGGGGCGGAAACTGAGTGGGGGACCTGGGTGGGAAGAGGGTCGGGAAAAGGCTGGCACTGGGCCCTAGTGTCCTCCGGGCCCAAGTTCAAGTCGGGGGCTTCCATTCATTTCGGGCCAAGACAATTACTGCCCTCGCCCCATCCGAGGGTCACTTTGCGCAGGCAGGCGCAGGGGAAGCAGTGCCCTGAGTAGATAGATCACCTGGAGGACCTGGAGCTCCTGGGCCGAGGGAGAAGGACAATTAATTTTATGCTTGGGCGAGAGTCCGGAAACCTTGGATGAAGTTATAAGACCATCTAAGGGGGAGCACAGGATAAAATTCTGAAAGCAGGATTTGGACGTTTGAGAATTAAGTGCCTCGTAGGTTCTGAGAGGCGCAGAATCAGGGTCAGGATGCTTAGCTACAACTGAGGTGCACAGTATGGGAGTCTGGAGACCCAGGCTAGATAGGGTCTAGGTGGACAGGATAACATTTTGAGTGAGGGTCTGGGGTCCCCAGGTGAGTTTGGGGGCCAAACATCAAGGTCAATTGCCTAAGGACCCAAGCGTTGGCGATCTCTGGCTAGGCGCCTGCAGGCCGTTGCAGGCAGCGCCGCGGGGGACCGGGTGGGGGCCTGTGGCCGGGCCCGGGCGGAGAAGCCGGGGGGTCGGGGTCCCTCCCCCTGGCGCGGGCTCAGGAATCCGCCGCAGGGCGGGCGGAGGCGCCGGGGTGGGCCGCGGCGGGCGCGCGGGCGGGCGGGGGGCGCTTCCTGGGGCCGCGCGTCCAGTGTGCTGCGCGGTCCGTCCGTCCGCCCGCAGGCACCGCCGGAGTCAACGAGTGAGTGGCCGCCAGCGGAGGGAGGGCGCGGGCCGGGTGGCGGCCCAGAGGCCTGCGCTCCACGACTCGCGGGGCGGGGGCGGGGCGGGGCAGTCCGGGATTGCGGGCCCGAGCCCCAGGCCTGCGAAAGGACTCGGTCTCCAGCTCTGGAAGACTCCGGTGCTCCCAACGCAGTCCTGAGACGAGACAGCTGGGAACCCCGGCTACCCTTCCTGATACAGGGAATGGGGGGTGTCGTGGCAGAGGCCCCTGACCCCTGCCCACCACCTCCCAGCCCCAAGATGCTCCCTTTTGCCTCCTGCCTCCCCGGGTCTTTACTGCTCTGGGCGCTTCTGCTGTTGCTCTTGGGAGCAGCGTCTCCACAGGATTCCGAAGAGCCGGACAGCTACACGGTGCGGACCGTGGGGTCACCAGTTTGGGATGGCATGGGAAGGACAGCGAGACCAGGGTGCCTGCTTCTGGGGAAGATTCTCCTCTGCTTGGGGGATGGAAGGCTGGGGGCCATTGTGTGAAGCTGATCTGAGCATAACTGAGCTCAGGCCCTGGCCTTGGCCTGGCTGGAGAAGACTGCCAGGGTGGTCACTGGCCACTTCGGTTCCTTTCCAGGAATGTACGGATGGTTACGAGTGGGACGCAGACAGCCAACACTGCCGGGGTGAGTATGCCTGGGGTACTAGCCATCTTCAAGAACCGGGAAGGGGACTATTGTTTCCCAGGGACACCTTCTCCTAGAGCTGCTTCAGAAACCTGGTGGCCTTTTCAGTGTCCAGCTTGGCTGCGCCAAAGCCAGCCGTGGTTCTCTTGTGCCACTGAGTTAGGAGCCCTACCCATTCAAGAAGCCCAACAAACCCTGCTTCTCTCTGCAGTAGGCAAGAGAGCACCTGGCGATCGCCCAGAGAAACGGCAATATGCACACCTTCCCTGAGTGTTCTCTACTCTCCTAGCCCAGCTCTCTATCCCAGTGCAACCTGGCAGGGCAGTACTCGCTCTGTGGGGCAGGAGGCCTGCAAATTACTCTTGGGCAGAGGTAGAGGTGGGGTTTTAAGGAGGAATGGAAACTCACTTGGAGGCAGGGGAATAGGGACAACAGTGGACATAGGTGGCCCTACCCCCAGTCCTGCAAATCCCTGGGAGGGGCTCTGGGTCAGCAGCCTTGGTTTGCTGAGCAGAGAGAAAGCTTTGCTCTGTGGCTCAGCTTAGAGAGGGCCAAGTCAGGCTTCTGCCTCCCACCACCTCCAGGGCCAGCCCAGGTGACTGGCTGTGCCCAGCAGGCCCCTCTCTGCAGATGTCAATGAGTGCCTGACCATCCCTGAGGCCTGCAAGGGTGAAATGAAATGCATCAACCACTACGGGGGCTATTTGTGTCTGCCTCGCTCCGCTGCCGTCATCAACGATCTACACGGTGAAGGACCTCCGCCACCAGTGCCCCCTGCTCAGCACCCCAATCCTTGCCCACCAGGCTATGAGCCTGATGAACAGGAGAGCTGTGTGGGTAAGTGGGGAGCCATGCTGGCTGACACCTCGGCTTCCACACCTCTTACCTGCCTTTTTATTTTAATTAATTTTGTATTTAGTATACAAAGTAACAGGTTTTGCTCATGGTATCATCCTCCTGACATACTTCATATTTAATTTGTTTTAATCCTCTTTACTGCCCTCCCTAGTAATTTTTGTTTTGTTTTGCAAGAAAGGTTTCCTTGTGTAGCTCTGGCTGTTCTGGAACTTACTCTGTAGATCAGGCTGGCCTAGAACTCGGATATCCCTGCCTCTGCCTCCCAGGTGCTAAATGCTGGTATTAAAGGTGTGTGCCACCTCTGCTCAGCTATGTGTACTTTGTTTTTTGAGACAGAGTCTCTGGGTTTGATCCCCAGCAGCACATCAAACAAGCATGGTGGTGCACAGTTGTAATCCCACCACTAGGGGGGTAGAAGCAAGACAATCAGAAGTTCAAGGTTATCCTCAGCTGCACAAGGAGTCTGAGGCCAACCTGAGCTCCTAGCTCAAAAGTATTACCTAATTAACAACATTAAAGTAACTTTTCATACTAAATACTGCAAACTGCTCATTTCTTTGCTGAGAGGCCTCTGACTCCTCAGAGAAAGATCCAAGCCCTCAGCTGCTGCAGGCCCAGGTCTGCTGGCCCAGGAAGTCCCTAGCAGCTCCTTCACTTCCTGTGCAGACATGCAAGAGCTCTCCTCCCAGCCTCAGCCGGCTTTTTGATCTGGACTCAGCCTTGGGGACCACTGGCCTTGGAGGAGGGATGGTCTTAGGAGAGTCAGCTAAGGGGTGTAAATGGACAAGGCCTTATTTATTTATTTATTTATTTATTTATTTATTTATTTATTTTTAAGACAGAGTCTCACTATGTAGCTCTAGCTGGGTTGGAACTCTGTAGCCCTGGCTCACAGGGATCCTCCTGCCTCTGTCTCAGCTATGTGTACTTTATGTGTAATTCTAGCCGAGTGCTAGAATTAAAAGTGTGTGCCACCAGACCCGACTTCTTGTTTTATATGCTCACCTGATGGGTGCCTTTCCTGGTGGACTGTTTTTTGTACTATTGGGAGGACCTATATCACATGTTCATGTTTTGGGGCTAACTACCCATGTGCCCACGTGAATGACGTCTGGTATAGGCCACTTTCTCCCAAACTGAGGTGTCTGACATGGTCAGTAGCATGTGGGACTCCAGGTAAGGGCTGAATGGTGTCTCCCACAGATGTGGACGAGTGTGCCCAGGCTTTGCATGATTGTCGCCCTAGCCAGGACTGTCATAACCTGCCTGGCTCCTACCAGTGCACCTGCCCTGACGGTTACCGAAAAATTGGGCCCGAGTGCGTGGGTGAGTTCAGAGAGTGACTTTCCTAGTTCTTGCTTTGTGACTAGCTCTCGACATAATGTCTCATCCTTAGCCCAGTCCTCTGCTGCTGGTACCCTCTTGTCACTAGACACAGGAGGCTACATGCAGGGAGCTGAGGTAGGCATGAGCATGGGTGTCCTGTTTTCCCCACCTGACTCGTGCCCTGCTTTCCCTCCCGCCTCCATCTTAGACATAGATGAATGTCGCTACCGCTATTGCCAGCACCGATGTGTGAACCTGCCAGGCTCTTTCCGCTGCCAGTGTGAGCCTGGCTTCCAGTTGGGACCTAACAACCGCTCTTGTGTGGGTGAGGCTCTGGGATCCCGGGTAGAGCGGTGTGAGATGGGGGCAGGATCTCTTTCCTGAGCCCAGTAGTTTGGGGCTCTGGGCAGTGCCTCTGCTTTCACCGTTCCTCTTTTCTCTGGCACCCTCAGACGTGAACGAGTGTGACATGGGAGCCCCATGTGAGCAACGCTGCTTCAACTCCTACGGGACCTTCCTGTGTCGTTGTAACCAAGGCTATGAGCTGCACCGGGATGGCTTCTCCTGCAGTGGTGAGAGTCCACTTGTGTTACTGGGCTTGCAACATAATGGACCAACTCCGGTCATGTGGCCATTCGCTTGAAGCTTCCATGTCTGATTCTCTGGACCTACAGACCTCCATGCATGCCACCCTGAGCTGGTTGCTGGTGGGGATGGTATGTCAGGCCCTGCTGAAGTTTGCTAGAGATAGGGAAGGTGTGGGTGCCAGTCTTCATGGAAGTTGAGCTGACTTGCACTGGAACCCTGCACTAGGACAAGTCTTTCTTTTTCTGAGCGTATGTCTGCTGTAACCAGGTTATTTGGACTATGGAGAGGGTCCATGGTACAGGCTCTATCCAGTCTCGGGCAGCAAAATGGGAAGCACTGCTTCTTTATAACGTACATGCTTAGTCTCACTTAACCTGGTCAACGATGACTTATCTCTGCAAACAGGACACTAATACTCCTCCAGACGTGTCGGCAGAATTGTAAAAAGCAAGCAGAAAGTCCAGAGGAAATGGTGACTCTCATCTCTCCACTTTCAGAGATGGGGTGACTTGTCACAATTTAGACAGGGAAGGATGAGATCAGGCCAGGGCTTGACATCATTGGTGTTCAGCTGTGTGAAAGGAACAAAAGAGACAGTATGCTGTATGTGGGGCGCACACAGCAGAAGTCTGGATAGTGTGACTGTAGATTGCAGGACTTTAAAAACCAGAGCAGCTTAGGTCCACAGGACTCTTCAGTCCAACCCACTCCTTTGATTGGCATGCAAATGGACCTTTCCTAGAATTAGTTAGTAGGACTTAGGCCAAGCCTTTGGATCCCTGGTGCCTTTTGTCACAGTTTATGTAACCCTGGGCTATCCTGCAGCTGTCTGTGTAGACCAGGCTAGCCTACAGAGATCTGCTGAGTGTGCTGGGATCAAAGGCATGGGCCACCATGCTGCGCTGGTGCGTTGTTTAAGTATTCTTAAAGTCCTGGGAAAGAGGTTCCCTCTAAGCTGGAAGGTCTGCTCTTACTTTGAGACAGAGTCTCACTCTCTAGCCCTGGTTGGCCCACAGTCTCTTTTGTAGACCAGGCTGGCCTCTGCCTTCCAAGAGTTGTGATCAAACACCCATTTGGTTTTTTTTTTTTTTTTTTTTTGAGGCAGGGTTTTGTTATGTAGCTCCGGCTGGCCTTGAACTTGCTATATAACCCTGGCTGGTCTTCTTGTGTGGACAAGATGGCTTTGAACTTGGTGTAATACTCCTGCCTTGCCGGGCGGTGGTGGCGCACGCCTTTAATCCCAGCACTCGGGAGGCAGAGGCAGGCGGATCTCTTTGAGTTTGAGGCCAGCCTGGTCTAGAAGAGCTAGTTCCACGACAGGAACCAAAAGCTACGGAGAAACCCTGTCTCGAAAATCAAAAAAAAAAAAAATACTCCTGCCTTTACCTCCCAAATGCTGGGATTATGAACATACAGCATCATGCCAAGCTTCTATTCTTTCTCTTTTCTTTTTCCTCTCCCTTTCTGTGCTGGGATGGAACCTAGAGCCTCCAGCGTGTTAGGCAAGTACTCTCTACCACTCTACCACTGAGCTCTAGCCCCAGCCCCTCTAACCTTTGAAACCCCCAGTCCGCCTTCTGAGCTTTACTGGGTTTATCTCATCCCTTCTCTTCCACATCAGCTTTTGGGGGGGCTGGGCTCTCTCCATAAATGACTATGGGACTCAGTTGCGAGGACTACCTTTGGCCCAGGGTCCTCATCCCCACCCTCCCTCAGATATTGATGAGTGCAGCTACTCCAGCTACCTCTGCCAGTATCGCTGTGTCAATGAGCCAGGCCGCTTCTCCTGTCACTGCCCACAAGGCTACCAGCTGTTGGCTACGAGGCTCTGCCAAGGTACAGGTGCTGCTGGTGGGCGGGCAGGATCTTAGGGTCTGGTGTCAGAGCCAGAATCCAACCTCACCTCCCTTGGCACAGACATTGACGAGTGTGAATCAGGTGCACACCAGTGTTCTGAGGCCCAAACTTGTGTGAACTTCCATGGGGGCTACCGCTGCGTGGATACCAACCGTTGTGTGGAGCCCTATGTCCAAGTGTCGGACAAGTGAGTCAACCTGAAGGCAGTTCCCGAGGGCTATGGGGGCTAACTGGTTCAATCAGGCTGGTGAGTACCCATGATGCCTCATGGGAGTTAGTCTTATGTGCTTGGGTTTTCCTCTTTAGAAGATGAGTATTTGGGAAATGGGCCCTCATTCTGGTCCTGTCTTGGGGTCTCTAGCCGCTGCCTCTGCCCTGTCTCCAACCCGCTGTGTCGGGAGCAGCCTTCATCCATTGTGCACCGCTACATGAGCATCACCTCCGAGCGAAGTGTGCCTGCGGATGTGTTTCAGATCCAGGCAACCTCTGTCTACCCTGGCGCCTACAATGCCTTTCAGATCCGTGCTGGAAACACACAGGGGGACTTCTACATTCGGGTAAGGTGCTTCTCCGCTCACACACAGTTGACATGGATAATCTAAAATAGAGTGCCTGCCGGGCGGTGGTGGCGCACGCCTTTAATCCCAGCACTCGGGAGGCAGAGGCAGGCGGATCTCTGTGAGTTCGAGACCAGCCTGGTCTACAAGAGCTAGTTCCAGGACAGGCTCCAAAACCACAGAGAAACCCTGTCTCGAAAAACCAAAAAAAAAAAAAAATAGAGTGCCTGCAGCCATTTAAGTGGGAGCTGCCCTGCCTCTTCTCTCAAAGCCCTGTCCTCATGTTCAAAGTCAAGATTTCTGCATCCTCAGTACACGGGTCCCAGGCAATTCTAACAGGCAGTTAGTTAATGGGGTTTGAGTCCTAGCATTGGTTTCTCCTATCTGGCTTTGACATCCTTATCCATAAAACAAGAAATATAGTTCCTGCAGGGCTGGGATCAGAGCTTGAGTTTTGCTGGTGTGGATGTGAGGACCTTATGCTGTTTTCAGCATTGAGGTGTTTGGCATCAGAACTTATTTCTCCTTTCAAAATTGCTTTGGGATTAGCGGCACAGCTCCATGGCAGAACATGTGCTTACCATTCAGGTCCCCAGTCCCTTCCCCAGCATCAAAACAGTCAGACACCTGGGCGGTGGTGCACGCCTTTAATCCCAGCACTCGGGAGGCAGAGGCAGGCGGATCTCTGGGAGTTTGAGACCAGCCTGGTCTACAAGAGCTAGCTCCAGGACAGGCTCCAAATCTACCGAGAAACCATGTCTCAAACCCTCCCCCCCCACAAAAAAAAATCAGACAGAGAGAAACAGAGACTTGGATACTTTGAAAGGGGGAAGTGGGCCAGCCTAGGTCACTAAAGGCCAATCATTTCTAAAACTTGAGTCTTTAGGTAGTCATGATGGAGGGAAGATCGAGGTGGGTAGGGTCAGGGGCCAGGGGGCTTGGGCACTGGAGAGGAAGAGAAACGTCAGAGCTGGGTAAGAGCTTGAGTGCCCAGCCTCACGGGCACGGGCAGGGGGTGAAGCTGGAGTAGGGTCCTGACTTACAGGCTAACACAGTCTCTATGTTCTGCAGCAAATCAACAATGTCAGCGCCATGCTGGTCCTTGCCAGGCCAGTGACAGGACCACGGGAGTATGTGCTGGACCTGGAGATGGTCACCATGAACTCTCTTATGAGCTACCGGGCCAGCTCTGTACTGAGACTCACCGTCTTTGTGGGAGCCTACACCTTCTGAAGGAGACCCTCAGGGAAGGGTTGGGTGGGGCCCCCTTCTTTCTCCCCCCCACAGCTTAAGGAGCCTGGGGTTTAGGGATGACTGTTCTGCTTAAAGAGACAATGATGTGAAGGACAATAAAGGGAGAAGGAGTCCTAGTGGCTGAGGTGGGTGAGTAACCTCAGCCTGGGAAGGCACTGGGCTTGTGAGAGAAGCAGGCAAATTTCACCCAAAGGGTCCTCTCTGCATTCAGGCTGAGAAGGTTCCAGAGCTTAAGTGTCATTCATCAGAATCAACCTGAGCAGGGAGTTCTAAGGAGTGGACACTTTAGGCCTTAACCCCAGAGCTCGGCAGATGCTAGGCCCCAGAAACCATGTTCAGGTCAGTGCCAAGAGGTCTGGGGCTACTATCCCAGCCCTACACCAAATTACACGTTTGGACAAGCCTACTGTTCTCCAGTCACCAGGATGAGGCAACTGGACTGAGAACATGTTTCTATCCCAACTTGTGGTGCTTTTTGTCACAGAAACTTACTTGATCAGGGGCCACTTAGTTGCAAAGCTAGAGTGCCCCATTGACTCCATCTCCCGGACCAGGGAATGCCCAACCTCTAAGGAGCATTATCTAGCTGTCTATTTAGTTTTGCATAGGGTCTAGCCTAACACAAGTTAAGTGTACACTCTGCACAACCATGCTTAGCCAAGAGCTTGCCTTAAAAAAAAAAAAGGAACCATATGGGCCAGGTATAGTGCTCCACACCTTTAATTCCAGGACCAGGAAGGTGGGCCTAGGAAGACTGGGAATTCTAGGCCAGCATGGGTTACACAGCATGTTCTAGGCCAAGCTGGGTTTCAGGAGTGGGTGGAGAAACACTGTACAAGGCTGCAGATCATTGCTGTGTGGAAGAGGAATTGCCTGGCATGCACAAGGCTATGGGTTCCACCACCAACACTACAAAACAAAAGCCACTGGATCACAAGGTGTAGTCTGCCTGTTCCTGCATATTTCATAAGGACCTTGGCATTGCTTCCTTAACTTCTAAGACCACAAACGTTCAGATTTTGATTATAGCCCAAAGAATCCTAGTTAAAGGGCTGGCTAGCCTTGGTAGAAGTGAAGATGGCTCTGGGATGTGTCTCCAGGTGGAGCTCAAGTCAGAGGGCAGTGGCTGCAGTATAGCTGGTACAGGGTCCTGCTCAGAGCAGGTCCCAGATTTCTGTAAGAGAATCAGAAGGTTGGCCTGGTGCCTCGGGCCACCCAGTCTTCTCCCCAGGGTGTGTCTCACCCTTACCTCTGCAGACGCCCGCACTTGATAGTGCTCAACAGCATCTCCTGCTCCTTAGGGGTGGCACAGGCATCATAGGCAGCTAGGAGACTGGGGGTGGGACATGCAGTGGCTGGTTATGTGGGCCAGCATCATGACAGCTAAGGCAGGCGGGTTCAGCCTAGAGGAGTCTGGACACTGCATGTTTCCTGATCCTGGCAATAGAGGCCCTCCTCCATCCTGTCTGCCCTCCCTTTCTGGGAAACACTGGGACAGAACCTTCCAAGGCTCCCACACAGAGCCAAGCTCTCTCTCCAGAAGCACTGCTTAAGTTGAACACACAGGAAGGGTAGAGGAACCCAGTGGCTCTCTGGGGTGTACCTGGCTGGTGTGCTGTATCGATCCACCAGGGCAGCTGCCTTCTCCCCACTTAGTCCACGCACCTGCATCAGCTGCCGGGCAAATACTTCTCGTACAGACTGGGCCTGGGATTGGGACAGGCCTCAATCAGGGGTGGTCTAGGACCAGGTCACCTAACCATAGGCAAGGCAAGGGTAGTACCTTGTTCTTGACAGCTTCTGCATTGAAGTCATTGAAAGTGAGGAGTGAGCAGAGAGGATCTGTGGAAGGCCTTGCTCCTGATTCAGCATCCCCTGGGGTTTCCCAGGGGCGGCTACGTAGGGTGTGGCCCTAGTAGAAGAGGGGACTGAGGCTAGGGTAGGCTTTAGGACTTAACCCCCAGCTATTCCTTTCCCAGGCCTCAGTGGGAAACCTGAGTAACCAGGTTCCTTGGGCAGCAACCACCAGGTGAGGGCCCAGTGCTGAAAGAGGCATCTGCTCACCTGATACAGTCTTTCTAGGCCCTTTGTCAGAAGGGCCAGGTAGCCAGCTGACTCCTTAATATCCATCGTGCGCTTCACAAAGAAGCCATCAATGACCTGGAGAAGAGGACCCAAGGGAGGTGGCTCCAGGTCTAATCCATGGAGTACAAAATCTGCCAGCCTGGCCCTGTCCTCCAGCTCACCTGGGTGTTTGTGACAGCCTGTAGCAGTGTACTCTCAGGAAGGCTGAGGTTGTGGACAGACCCATGTTCCTCCACCAAGTATACTCGGTGCCCCAGGCCACAGCGCTTCAGGCGGAACTGGGAAGGCAGGCAAAAGCAGGGTAGGTCAGGCCCAAATGCCTACATGTCTGGGCCAACCATATATCACATTAAGATTGCAAGGAGATGGAAATAGAGAGATGGCTTAGAGGTTAAGAGCACTGGCTGCTCTTCCAGAGGACCTGAGCTCAATTCCCAGCAACCATACGGTACCTAACAACTGTCTGTAACTCCAGTTCTAAGGGATCCGACACCCTTGCATAGACATATATACAATCAAAACACTAATGCCCATAAAATAAGTAAATCTTTAAAAAGAAAAAACATTGACTATTCTAGAGGACCTAGGTTTAATTCCCAGCACCCACATGGCAGCTCACAACTGTCTGTAACTATTAAGCTCTGACACACAGATTTAACAACACACTTCATTTAGTTATATACATATTTATATATATGATTTCAAGGAGACCCTGATCCTACAGTCTTATCTTTACTGGCTCCTCTTCTGTCTCAGAGGAGCAAACCGGCTCTTGCTATGACTCCTGTAGGAGTCCTGAACCTCTGGACATTACATATTCTCCAGGCCTCCTTCGGCCTATTACTGACCTCTGTGACCCTATGGTGAGCGCACTGCTAAGACTTGGGCATAGCTTCTGCATTTCCAATGCTATGAGATCTCTAGGGTTAGGCACTCAAGGGGTCTTTACGTTTCTCAGGCCAGCCTAGATAACTGTGGGTTCCTACTTGCACCTTCATGGCTTAAAAGGGGCTCAGAACAGGTGTGACTAGAGGCCTCTGAAGCGAGGCGTGTGCAGGCTAAGCACCTTCTGCTCTCGAAAGCGGCCGTCAATGATGCTGCTGCACAGGTCATCCAGCCGCTTGCGTTCCACAATGTGGTCCAAGACTAATTCCTCAGGTCTCGCTGTCAAGGAGTCAAAGAGTCTTACTGTCTTCCTCTGACCCACCCAGGCCAGCCTCCAATGCCTGCCCATGACCTTTTACCTGGGTCTCTGGGCCTGGTCTCCTGTGCTATCCACACAAAGTCCCCAACATGCAGCTTGCGTACTGTGTGGGGCACATGCAGCCGCTGTAACTCTCGGAGCATTTCTGGCCTGTGTCGTCCTGCCCTAATATTTCAAGAGAGAGGGCCAAGGCGAATGTGAGCCAGCACTCACCGCCCTCCACATCCTCCAGGTGTTCTCGCGGCCGCCCCACTTCACTCACCCTCTGGTTTCCCCAGTGTCCACACACAAGAGCACTCTGTACTCGCCAGGCCTCAGCTCCAGTGGCGGCTGCTGGACGCCACCTTCACTGGCGCCACTGTAAGGAAGTGGGGGCTTACATAAGGCCAGAACCCTTAGTGCCAGGGTGGTCCCCACAACTCACGGGGACAACTGCGGCTCAGCAGTTACAGGTCCCTGAGATATGGTCCTCCATTTCTCCCTCCTCCTTACAGTGCTGACAAAGTGGCCGCTGAAGCTGCTGACTCCTCTTCATGGGGCTCCTCTGGCATAATGCCAGTGTTCGGCGTGCTCAGGCCTTCTGCCTTGGCCAGCCTTTGGGCCAGCTCCAGGCCCTCTGGGGTCAGTGCATACCTGGGGGGTGGAGGATACAATTTTACCTTTATACCTGGCAAACTCTGCTGTCCCAAGCTAGGTGAGCATTACCCTCGTTGGTACCCCACCTCCTGCTCCATCCCTCAGACCAGCTATCCTCAGGACCTCCCGATCGCTGCCTCAGCTTTGCAATGCATGTCCTACAGCTCCTCCCTATTTTCACTCGGAACCATACTTCCCCCCCTAGAATATTCTGGAATCTTTTTTTTTTTTTTTTGATTTTCGAGACAGGGTTTCTCCGTAGCTTTTTGGTTCCTGTCCTGGAACTAGCTCTTGTAGACCAGGCTGGCCTCGAACTCACAGAGATCCGCCTGCCTCTGCCTCCCGAGTGGTGGGATTAAAGGATTAAAGGTGTGTGCCTGCCTCTTGTGTCTCCTGCAGCTTGCCCGTACCTGGATGGCCGATGTGTTCTGAGGACCAAGTTCCTGTGGAGGAGGCCTCGGAGGGCAGGCCATGATTTTGAACTTCCAGGAACTACCTGTGTAAAGGAACGGAGATGGGCTAGAGGGATGGCTCAGAGGTTAGCTCTTCCAGAGGACCCTGGTTCAATTCTCAGCACCCACGTGAGAGCTCACAACTATGTGTAACTGCAGTTCCAGGGCTGCCGACACCCTTGCACAGACACGCATGCATAGCAAATAAAAATTAAAAATAAAAAAAGAAAAGGAAAGGAGACCCTCAGAGAGGCCCTAGTACTCCCAAGCCTAAACATCCTCTGTCACTAGCCGTGTTCCATAATTGGATCAGATTTCATACCAAGGCTGCCTGCCTGTCAGGCAGGCAGGAAGACTGTAGTGGGCTCTATCTGCCCACTGTCAGCTGGATGCTCACCCTGGGGGCTTTCTGGGCACATTTCTGCAGCAGCTCCTCCTTGGTCAGGAAGCTGTGACCATCAGGATTCTGAAACCATGGTAGATATGAGGGTAGGTTCAGGGCCAGGGCTCCTCAACCTGCTACGGAGTGGCCAGCATGAACAGTGCCCAGGACTTCTGTGGGTCTGCCTCACCCAACGTAACTGCCTTTTGGAGACATTTACCAGGTGCTCCTTGTAGAGTTGCAGCAGGACGGCCCGGGCACCCGAGTTCTGTGCTGGCCAATAGCCCCCGGCGCTTCCTGCTTGAGGCTGGGTGGGAACCTGAGACAGACAGCGGGGCTCAGAATTCAAATGCC